GAGAGGATGGAGATGTCTCGAGTACCGTATGCATCAGTAGTGAGAAGTTTAATGTTCGCTATGATATGCACAAGACCAAACATTGCACAAGCAGTGGGAGTGCTTAGTCGGTACATGGCGAATCCAGGCATAGAGTATTAGAATACAATAAAGAGGATCCTGAGATACATCAAAGGGACCTCAAATGTTGCATTATGTTACGGAGGATCAAATTTACTAATCAATGGGTATGTAGATTCTGACTATGCAGGGGATTTGGATAAAAGCAAATATACTACAGGGTATGTGTTCAAAGTTGCTGGTAGAGCTGTAAGCTGGGTTTCTAAGTTGCAATCAGATGTGGCTACATCCACAACAGAGACAGAATATATAGCAGCTACACAAGCCAGTAAAGAAGCAATTTGGTTGAAGATGTTGTTGGAGGAGCTTTGGGCATAATCAAGAGTATGTCTCTCTATTTTGTGATAGTCAAAGCGCCTTGCATCTAGCAAGGAATCCAGCATTTCATTCAAGGACAAAACACATACGAGTTCAGTACCACTTCATTCGTGAAAAGGTAGAAGAAGGAACGGTAGACATACAGAAGATCCATACCAAAGACAATATAACAGATTTCATGACGAAGGCAATCAATGCTGATAAATTTACCTGGTGTCGATCCTCCTGTGGCCTGTCAGAAACGTAAGCAACATGAAGGTACAAGGTAGAAAGAATGATGTGAAGATATGATTGTTCCAATCAAATCTTCAAGTGAGAGATTGTTGAAAAGTCTTGGCAAGCACCGAAAGGTGCTAATAAAAAAAATTCCACCGAAAAAATTTGTCAAAATGGTTGGGTTTTTGTTGAATTTTGGACAATGGTAAAATCATAATTTTAGCCATTATAATTTAGGGTATTTACAAATTAGTCCTTAGAGCTTCAACTATAAATACCCTAGCTCATTTAGCTTCAAAACCATCCCAAAGCATTCTAGCTTTCTTCCAATACTAGAGATAATATTAGAGAGTTTCTTGAGAGTTGTTTTCTCCTTTTTATCAAGAGAGAATTATTATTGTTTTCTCCTTGGTCGATCGAGAGAAGTTGTAATTCCTATTTTCTCATAGTGAAATTCTTCTACCGTTGCCTGTGGTTTTTACCCTATATTATTTAGGGGTTTTTCACGTAAATTTTGTGTCTTCTTTATCTTCATTTTTATTTTCTCAAATTATCAGTTATGATTTTACTCTATCCGATAGCCGTCTTCCGCAACATTATATTGGTAAAAGAGAAAAGCATTATCAGTATGATTAAAAGCAAGTAATTATAGCTATTTAATCGTCTTTATTGCATATGGTTTTTAATTAAGAATAGATTTGATGCTTAAGATATCGATCCGCACTACCTTTAATGAAGATGTCAATGAAAGTTTGAGCTATGATGTTGACAGAGACTAGAGTGCAATTCAAGATTAAATTAAAGATTGAAGGTGTCATCTCACTAAAATTGTAAGTATATAAGTTTTAACTGTATTTTTTAAAAATAGTTGTTTAAGGTTTTATCATTTTAAGCATATTTTAAAAAATTTAACCTTTAGAGATATATACTAATTGATCTATAAAATAAGATATCGATTAATCTGTAGAATACCATCATATATATATATATATATATATATATATGTCATATTTTAAATTTATTTTTTTATGAATATTCAAAGAGAATAAATTTTATTTATGTATTCATAATATGATTTAATAGATTAGTTTTCGAAGTAACATTTTAAAAAAATTATAAAAAAATATATAAATGATGGGTCGTGATAATTAAACTATGTGTGTGATCGTGTTTATCTCCATCTTCTCTTGAAGATTTTATGGTTCCTTTTCTATGACATCATTAGACATTATACTATACCTTATTCAATGTCGTGGGCCATTTTCTAAAAACAAAAATATTAAATCCTGAACAGATTTCAAGATTTTTTACAGTTAGGTGTCTGCCTTTTATTTGTGATCTTTGATTTTATTTATATATTTTAATTTTCCCATTTTTTAACCGCTAAATCTATGTTTTAATTTTTAAAAGTAGCCTTAAATAGTAGAATGAAAGAGGATGGACGTCGAAATCAGGTGATGTTAATAAAAGCATTTTAAAATGAGTTATTACTTGTTTTATAACAACGTACGTTGGGATCGACTAGAACTGACAAGACACGGCTTAATTCTATCTTAAAATCCAATGAAACTGTAATCGTTGAATTAAACATGGAAAATTTAATTACTATTTTCTTTGAGAAATGAATTGTTAGCCGATAAAGGTAAAGGAATTGATAGTATATTTTAATAAAATCCAAAGCAGGACAGTGTGTTGGAGACGTGAAAAAAAGAAACCATTGTCACAAATTTGCCTCCGACAGCACTTAAAACATCTGGCCATAATAATCCTGGTCACTGTAATAAGTAATCTATGATGTTTTGATGTTGAATCCGCCGTATGGTTCCAAAAACTAATGAATCTTATCCCATGTCCCGTATATCTAAAGATTGAGTATAGGTTGGGTTTTTGGTTAATCTAATTCGATCTAAAAAATATACACTATTTATTTAAAATCTGTTCGAGTTTAGGATAATTTCGCTTTACTCGAAATTTGACCCATTTTCTGAGATAAAATTCAAATTCGACCAGGCACAAATATATTTATAAAAAAATCTTAATTTTATTTCACACAATAGAAATATAGTTGAAAAATAATATAAAGAGAGTATTGTCGCAATTTTTCCAAAATATATAAGGTATAATTACATTATTTTCGGGTTGATACTTGTTATCTTAAACCCGAATTTAACCCAACCTGACCTAAAATCTATTTAAAAAAATATGATCCAATAAAACCAGGTTAAGTTAGAAATCGTTGAGTTCGAACCTCATGTCCATCCCTACATATATCTTTAATTATATCCAATAAGAGTAATTTATAGAAAATATGAATGCAATATTGATATGTAATATGCTTTTAGTAAAGGAATAATGAGAAGTTTATTCAATTTGTAGTTAATGGTTACAGAGCTATTGAATGTGAGGTGGATGAGATGTCACTTTACATCATTTGGGAACGATTATATAATATATACGAAGTTTTAAAGCGTGGAATTGGACTCTCTTTTTAACATGTCCACTGAGAAGGTAATTTTTGTTCGGATATTTTTTCCAAAATGGGTTGCTCCTTGGATGAGGAACTTGTTATTTTCGACTTCCCACCGACTGAGATAGCCTCCTTTCTGGATGCCGACTTTAGGGGAGTTTTCTTCTCTAAAGGTTTCTCTGTAAGTTAGTTTTACCTTTTTCCTCTGTAAAAAAAATAAAAATAAAAGAGTTATCATGTTTGATGGTATATAATTACAGTGATCGGGTCATGACTTTATTAATATTTATCATATGTATGTTTAACATGTGAGTCAACATTAAATTATCATATAACTTAATTGTTATTTTTATATTAAAATAATAAGCCCTCAAACCATGTACTTGAATTTACGTTAATCTCATTGATTTTACATTCTTCACTATTTTATATTTTGTACACGTCGCTTTAAATATCAAAATATTATTATTATTTTTCAAATCCTTCACTTTTCTCAAAACACATTAAAATAAATTATATTTGTAAAAATTGAATTTAAATTTTATTGATAATATTATTAGAACTAATAATCACAAAAATCGAACATATTGTTATAAAAAAAACTAACAATTCAAATGATTTAATAATACTTGCAGTAGCCATTTTATATGTGGCATTAAAATATAATCTTGAGACACGTACAACAAAAGATAATTATAATATCGAAAATGTATTTGATATATATATTGAATAAAATTTGATTGACTCACGTTATTTATTATATTTTAAATTTAGGAATAAGAAATTAAATATTTATTAAATTTTAGTATTAGAATAAATAATATTTTATGTATGAAATAATTTATCATAGGATTTGTTTGTATGATTACCTAATAATGGTCTAAGACAGGCAAATCAGAGCGATGAAGATCCAATGAATTGCTCAGTTTGGTGGGCCGTCCCCTAATTTACATGTGAGGCTGGTGAAAGGCACTGCCAACCTTTTATTGTCCTTTCCACGGCTCCCACAGCCTCTCTCTCTTTCTCTCTCTATATGGGGACAAAATCCTGTTACATAGTATAAAATTCTTTTAATTTTATATAGATTTAAGACAGTTGTATAAGTGAAAATAGATTATTGAAATTAACGGTAGGAAATGAGAAGATATTCACTGAAAAAAAAATAAGGGGTTAATCTTAATCATATATTTTCACTTTTCTAAAGGTCATAAATTTATATAAAAATAAAAAAATTTATATTGTATAACTTAATTCATATATATATATATATTCAGATATTTTATTTTTAGAGTAATAATCTAGTAATTATCTTGAAGAACGAGTGATTGGTCTTCTAAGGTATTAACTGCGAGATAAAATTATTGGAATTTAATAAATTTTAATTTTTTTTAATGTTAATTTTTTAAAATCTAAATTTAAATTAAATTGAATTCTATAAAAATAAAATTAGATCAGATTAAATTTATATTTAAGATAAAAAATTAATTTGAAATAATGCTGTAATTTTTTGTATAATTTTATATTATCGTTTTAATTTATTAAATAAAATATATTAAATATATTAAAATGTGATTTTAAATAAATTTAGGTTGAACAAAAATACAACCAAATACTAAATTAAATTAAAATTAAAGAAAAAGAAATTAATTTTTAGATTGGAACAAATTAAACCCAACTTGACTTTTGACCATTCTAAGGTATAATCTATATTTGTAGGCAGTAATAGAGTTTCAAGAAAAGTAGAGACCTGCCTCTATTAGACAAATTAAATAATGTGAGAAAAAATTTAAAGTTTCTCACTATACAATGTACAGAATACAGTACACGCCCCCCTTATAAATTCCTTATCATTAACTTAATATAACCTCACAGTTCTCCTTCACTCCTCACTCTGTTCTTTCCTTTCGAAAAAAAAAACATTTTTCTCCAATTGTTGTTTCCTTGCTTTATATTTTGTTTTGTTGCTTGTGAAGCTAAGGTAGGAGACTATAATGGCAAAGAAGCCGAGAATTGTGATAATTGGAGCCGGGATGGCTGGTCTTACTGCGGCTAACAAGCTGTATACTTCCACTAGCTCCAACGATTTGTTCGAGTTGGTTGTTGTCGAAGGCGGCGATAGAATTGGTGGCAGAATCAACACTTCTGAGTTTTGTGGTGACAGAATTGAGATGGGTGCTACTTGGATCCATGGAATAGGAGGTAGCCCGGTTCATCAAATTGCTCGGGAAATTCATGCTCTCGAGTCTGACCAGCCATGGGAGTGCATGGATGGGTTCTCGGACGAGCCGATGACCATTGCTGAAGGTGGGTTCGAGCTGAATGCCTCTATCGTTGACCCCATATCCACCCTTTTCAATAACCTGATGGATTTCGCTCAAGGAAAGCTGGCTCAAGACGGTGCAGGCGGTGGAGGGAACGCTTTTTACTATAATATTGCAGCTAAAGCAGCCTCTAAAGGTTGTGCGAGCGACTCTGTGTTTGGTAACCAAAGTGTCGGTGCGTTTCTTAGACAAGGCCTCGGTGCTTATTGGGATTCTTGCAAGGACCATGAGGAGCTCAGTGGGTATGGTAAACGGAGCAGGAAGTTGCTGGAAGAAGCCATTTTCGCCATGCATGAAAACACCCAGAGGACTTATACTTCAGCTGGTGATCTGTTCAATCTAGATTTCGAAGCAGAAAGGGAGTACCGCATGTTTCCTCGTGAAGAAATCACCATTTCGAAAGGCTACTTGAGCGTAATTGAACACCTTGCATCTGTTCTTCCTCCTGGTGTAATCCAATTAGGCCTCAAAGTCACAACAATTGAATGGCAGCCTGAGAATCATAAATCTAAAGAAATTCAAAATGGCTATGATTCCAGTTCCAGACCAGTGAAGCTTCACTTTTGTGATGGATCTGTTATGTTAGCAGATCATGTGATAATCACAGTTTCATTAGGTGTCCTAAAAGCTGGAACTGGTCAAGATTCAGGTATGTTCAATCCTCCACTTCCTTCTTTCAAGACAGAGGCTATATCAAGACTGGGATATGGTGTTGTTAACAAGCTGTTTCTTCAATGGAGTCCAAATGGTAATAATAGAAACGCCAATGACAAAGACAAGTTCCCTTCCCTGCAAATTGTTTTCCATCCCCCAGAATCCGAGTTAAGGCATGAAAAGATCCCAGTGATCCATGTTCTTGGGGTCTTACAGCTACGTTGCTGTTGGATCAAGTGGTGCTGATTTAGACACAATGGCTGAGCCATTACCAAAGACTGGGAGCTCCGAGTTAGACCGGGGTGTGGATCATCCACTTCAAATTTTGTTTGCTGGGGAAGCTACACACAGAACCCACTATTCTACAACTCATGGAGCTTATTTTAGTGGTCTTAGGGAAGCCAGTAGGCTTCTGCAACACTATCATTGCCATGGGGTTTAGACTTAGCAATTTCAATTTGATTTATTTTTAAATACCCTAAACCATCTTTCTTTCTTTTTCTTTAATGTAAAGCAAAGGGGGTGAATGAGAGCAAAAAAGAAAAAAAAAAGAGGGGGTTTAATGAAATATGGAAGATAAATGGGGACATTTTTAAATGTTTGGTATGATTTATTTTTAAATACCCTAAACCATCTTTCTTTCTTTTTCTTTAATGTAAAGCAAAGGGGGTGAATGAGAGCAAAAAAGAAAAGAAAAAAAGAGGGGGGTTTAATGAAATTATGGAAGAGATAAATGGGGACATTTTTAAATGTATTGGTATGAATTAAAAGAAGCTTCTTTTCTATTTTCTATAGGTATTCTCTTTGCTTTTGTGCGAGTACCCAGGGGTTTCCTTTACATATATATGTATAATCTTGCTTTGATATTCAAAGGAAAACCATTTTAAGATCATGTTTGGCATTGAATGAGCTGCTGTTGTGTGATAGTTGGGGAGTATAAAGAACAAAGGGAGAAGCTTTGGATCCCACTGCTCATTGCTTTGGCTTTTGGCCGCTGGACAGCATCCGCCAAACATGGCTCTTTCCAGCTAGGAATCTCTTAAACGAGCCTCCTTTTCTGGCTTTAAAACAACCTTGCCAACCAAAAATAAATTGTAGTATGGTCTTCAATTTCATGTATGAAAACAGTGCATCTCTGGAATTTTTTCATACCAAAAAATATCCTAAAACAAGCAGAGAGAATCAGAGATGCTTATTGCCATCTGATTGCTTTGATCATTGGTAATTGGCTATCATGGGTCCAACCCCATGCACACGTGACAGTGCAGACATACACAAAGACAGTTAGCTCAGCCTCTTACTAGACAACACCAGTGGCCTACGCTTGGTATGATAGACATGGAAAATGACAGTCCATAAGCATACAATATCAACTTGAAAAAAACCACAGATTTTTTCTATCGGGTTATTTTTTTTTTCTCTCCTATTATCACCGTTCCACTTTCATGTACCCCTTAGGTCCACAACTCCCAAATTATTTGACCCTCGTCTTACAACTAACAACAACAAAAGTAAATCTACTATGTTTTTTTTCTCTTAATCTTGTTGGGATTAGGGTGAGTGAGAGCACCCAACAAACAGCAAAGCAGTGTATGGTCAAATCAGTAAAGCTATTCATAGACTCCATTATTGTGGGTTATGAGAGATTTTGGCAAGCTCTCTCGCCCAAAAATAAACTGGGAATGCCCCACTTGCTGTCTCTTTTTGCCTCTTGTGGGCTTCAATCACCCTTTGATCATTGTGTATATTGCAGACCCCTCCTCTGTCACAGAGTCCTTGTCTGCTTCACAAACAAACAAAGAAGAATCTCCATTTCCCACCAAACATATCACTACTAAATATTATTTTCTTTCTTCAATAACACACTCTTTTTCGCCTCCTTCTCATCATTATCATCCCTTCTTTCTTTCTTTCTTTTTAAATCCTCGTATATCCTATAATCACACCAATTTTGATTATATTTAAAATTAATTCGAATCTAATCCTTAAAAGTGAGACAAAACTCATGCAGCAGTACAATGCAGGCAAACTCCAAGTTGCGTATTTGTGTTACTTTAAATCGAATGCTTTCATTCGGTTTTCAGCTTTATTTTACTGTTAGATTGCGACCCTTCCATTTTTGGTACTAAAGATTTCGCACGTAAAAAAGAATGTTTTTCATTTGGAAAAACTACTAAAGTTAAATTGATCATGACCATCATTTCGATGAAAACTATATCAGAACGCAACGTGTAGCCTAAAGATTGAGCCATTTTGTCCAGAAAAAAACAATCATTTTTAACTAAAAATTCAATTCAACTTTAACCTCCTTCCTTGTTCCTTTGCCCTTATTCCATTCTAAGTTGAAACAAGCAATCTTCAGAAATGACAGACCATAATAAAATCTTCAAACAAGTTTTGATTCAACAAAGCTGTCTAAAGGGGGAAAAGTGTTTTTTTTCTCTCTTCTTCTTATGTTTTAACATACCGATAAAAAATTCCACAATTTTTCAAGTCAGAAGAAGCTTGGGAACCACCGTACGTACGATTCATTCGAAGCATTGTTGATATACTTTTCTGTTTATTTTGTTTGAAAATTTCGGGGATCATCATTGTCCACTGCAACATAATATTAAATTCTTTTCCTTGGGGATTAAGAATCCCAGATTTTTAATTAGTTTTATAAATTTAAAAAAAAAGGAGAGAGCTGTGTACTTTATTCCTTCTTTTCTATCCTTGACAGACCCTCTGATTTAAGAAAGTTATCATGTTGACATCTCAAAACCTTTTTGCTTTATAAAGTTCCCCTTGTGATGATAACATAGCATCAAGCTTTTAATTTAAAAAAGAGCAATTGGTATGTCCATAAATTTATGGGAAGGAATCTTGAGGCCTACATATAGGGTTTATAAGGCTCTTTCGAGGCTTTCCTTCATTGTCATGCCCCAAGAGAATTATCTCATAATAACTTTAATCAGCCAGTTGAATTAAAAGTCGATAGTCCAAATGAATAAGAAAGAAAGATTAAATCAATAATTAATGATATGATCGGTTCAATCATCAGATTATCATATTATACAAAACTATTTAAGAAAAAAAATAGAAGAATGTCCGTAGATGTCAATAGAGTTGAAATCCAGGTAAAATCTTTTACCAAACCAGTAACTTTTGAGTTGATGCCTTGTTCCTTTTACTTGAAAAGTTAAGTTTCATAGTGATGTGATTTTGTTCCATAATAAGTCGTTCATTCATTCATTGATGTTTGTCCTGGACAACAAGTGTTTTAATACCCACCAGATAGTTGGGTTTTGTCTTTTTAATGAGTGTATAGGGTCCATCAATGTTAAAAACAGTGGGGTAGGGTAACAACCGGTAAAAAACAAGATTTTATGATTTTGGTTATCGTTTTCTCCTTTTTTGCCAGTGGGACACTGCTGGTAATAATTTCCAGGACAGACCCTTGGTTGATAATGAGGGGTTGCTTTTCTGATTCACTTTGCTCAAAGAGTCAATGACACTGCCATTGGACTTAGTTTCCTCCAATGGTTAGAGTGGTAATATGCTTTCTAATATACAATAAAAATAATCATCACATCATTAAAAAGTATATCTTCTAATACGACTCGATTTTATTTAAATGAAATTTGTCTAATCAAAATGAAAAATTTAATACGTTTGGATATTTAAAGCTTTAATCCAAAAGAGAAATGTTAAATCTGAATTTGTCGAGTACTTCCCAAGTACAGCAAATTTAATCATGAAGATGCCCCAACGAGCATTAGACTCTATCTGTGATTGCAAGTGAAGAAAGACAAAGTCCAGGAATATCGGGCACTAAAATGATTTAACACCCTAAACCACAGTTGTACTAGTAATGCCATATACCCCAGGCTATCATTTCAATAGCTAGCGACAATTTTTCTTTCCTTATTCAATGTGACCCATCGCGCATCTAGTGGCCCAATTATCAGTTAACCCAATGACCCAAACCCATTTTTCTTTCTCCCAAAAAAAAACTCCATAGACCATTGAGGTCAATGGTCGAATACTTACTGCTTACCATGTTAACAAAACATTGATTCTACCGAGAATAAGTTAATCTAGTAAAATGAGACACTAGATTTATTAAATAAAGTTAAAAGTTTAAATTTTGACATTTGTGCATAGAGCAAACTGAATTAGGAGGGTTGGCCCCATAATGACCTATACAAAATTCGATCCGAAATAGTCGATAAATAGATCATTTATACAGTTAATTAAACAAAAAAACATTGATTCTGAATGAACCAAAATATAAGTTTACATAAGATGCGTATTTAATTTTTTTAATAAATAAATATAAAATAATAAAAATAATACGGACCGCAAATAAAGAAATGAGGGGTTTTATTTTGCCCATGAAAAAAATTGCAGGCAGCGGCGCCATAACTTGGTCCAGAGAAAGGAGAGGGATGGGATGTTGGGACCTAAATTTGGCATTAGGGAACAGTGTGAGGAAGAGGTTAAGGAGCAATGACCCATTTGCAGATCCTTGAAAGCAACACATGGTTGGACATATATACCTTACTGACTCAAATTCACCATTTTAATTTTCATCAAGTCCCTATCCATCCTCAAACCAAATCTTATAGGATCCATTATCAACCTGTCTACGTAGCCTGCTTCTTTATCATAATTATTATGCTAATATTTACTAGTGTACCCAAATAAAGCCTTCCACGGATGTTAGATATTCCCAAATAAAATACTATTATTTAGTGTACCCAAATAAATCCCTAGTTTTATAAGTAACTGAACGCTCTAATATTAATTTTGAAAACTAATATTAGTTTTATGATAACATCAATTGCGTCTGTAATCTTGTCACGATGAATGAAGTCGTGTCAATTTACCAACTCAACAAGATTGTTAATACCAAGTACAAGTGGGTTTTGAGAACAACGGTAGAAAAAAAAAAATGACGGACAGAGTGAGAGGAATAAATGCCTGTATTACATACTGCAATTATATATAAGAGAGAGCGAGAGACTACGATCGTAAATGAATCAAATTTGAATTAACAATCTTAAGTTTATTTGTTTGTTTATTTTCGAAAGTGTTTATGTTCGGTTTATATTAGTTTAAATTTTTAATATTGTGTTCGTATTCGTTTATTTATTAATCGCGAACATGTTCATTTGTATACTCACGAACATGTTCGTTTAGCGTTCACAAACATGTTCGTTTAGCGTTTGTTTATATGTTCAATTTTTAGTTTCATACTAAAAAAAATGATAAAATTGCATTACTAGTACTTAAACTCCTTAAAATTCATAGTTTAAATTTTAATTTTTACTATGCGTTTAATATAGTCTCTACCTTCACCAATATTTAAAATTAAAAAAAATAAAGCAAAAAGGAGAACTGGATAAACGAGCTTGTTCATGAACATAAATGAACGAGTCGATAAACGAGCTTGTTCGTGAATATAAACGAATCAAGCACACCTATGTATGTGTTCGTTCGTTTATTAGACTACCATAAATTTTTTTATTCATACTCGTTTATTTAACTTATTGTAGACACA